GGCAAAAAGTCTATTAACCGACAGTTGACTTCTGACTTCAAACTACCATCACCTCACAGTACTCATCTTACCTTTTTCCTACCTTCGTCCTTGAAACACTCCTCTGTTCCCCCCCCCCCCCCACTAGACTTTTTTTCACTTTGTTGTTCCTTCCACCCTGTGAAGCCTGAAGTCAACTAAAGGGCTAATGATAACCATCAAAACGCTCGCCATTTGATATAAATAAATTTATCATTACGCGTCGAGTTGTCAAGTCCTTCCTATGGGCTAAGAAGATCGACCAATTCAGGCTACTTTCAGTCTTATTTGAAGTGTTCTTTTAAGTTACATAGTTATAGCCTTACTCCCTTCCCTCTGTCATCTTTCTACGATGTTAAAATTTGTCATCCGATTTTCATTGACTTAGTTGAAGCCGAATTCTATTAGCTCATTTGAGTGGCAAATACATGCATCAGGTTATTTTGTGAAAGAATTCTAAAAAATTATCGAACCCATATAATTTCGTTATGGCCTATGAAAATGACGCGTGGTTACCTGCTTCAAAGCCTATCGGATTACCTCACGCGTGAATTCAAGCTTTGTTAATTGTCAAACGTTTCTTTCAAAAGAATTTTGATTGGTTTTTTTTCCTTCAATGGTCGGATATTCGCAATCATTTATTTCCCTAGAATCCCACATTAAAAAGCGTAAAAAATTTGAAAGGTCTTGCCAATTCGAGTCTAGTTTGTGTATTAATGATAAATTGTGTCAATGCTAACAATCGAAGCGACGTATGGGGTAATCAAAATAAACGACTAGAGCCAATGGAGCTTATTTTGAAAGGGGTCGAATAGTCATAATGACCCCAAAGTGTTATAAAAGACCAGTTTTGTATTTGCTTTCTACAGATTCGGTCTTTACCCTTTTGCTTTAAGAGGCAAATTGGTAAATATAACAATATTTACGTTTGGACTGCCTAGAAAGTTCGAAGATTTGATATATCTGTCATGAAGGGAGTAAAGAATTGCTGGAAACTTCTGGTGCATAAAAAAGAAACTCTCTGAAGAAACACGGAAATGCAACGCTCTGCTATTATGTAATTACGATGACACTTACTCCTAACAGGACCCGAAATGATTCCATACTTTTCAATGGCGATTTGCTTTTGTCGTCAACACCAACCTGCCTTTGTTTTCCTAGATGTCTACGTCTCAACGGGTCAAATTTCTCAAATTAAAACTGAAGGAGGTGATGTATATCAGTGCCATCGATTTTTCGCAAGCGTTTAACCTCAGTCAAGACCCCATTTGGGAACAATGGGAATTCGGCAAAAAGCACGCTCTTGGTCAATACATGTTTCTCAGCATTAAGGAGTGCCCAGATTTGGCTTAGAACATTCCTTATCCAGCCCTTCTTAGTAAATAATTGATTTTGCATTATTTCGCCCATCCATTTCACTGTCCATCTTTACGTATAGGGGTAATCAATTTTCCCACCTCTGCATTAGGCAGGTATTAATTTTTCCCTATCAGTTATTTATATCAAATGGCAGGCATTTTGATGGTTATCATAAGTCTTTTAGTTGACATCAGGCTTCACAGGGAGGAAGGAACGT